TCAAATTACACGGTGAATCGACTTTGATAACAATGCAGATTGATGTTTCACTAATAGTATGTGTCATGTTGGTGAGCCTTGGCCATATATATTCAACATTTTTTCTTGTAATTTTCCAGGGCATTTTGTTTATTAACAAATACATAATCTTTTCAAATATGGACTCATGGAACTTCGTGTGTCACGAGGAAATTTTCTTGGATCTGTACTTATATGGTCAAATAGACAAATAGTTGGTCAAATTGTGACTAAAACTTATGGGGGCAGTGAGTTGATGTGTTTTTGGATCTCCAAACTAACTATATTTAATTCTCCTCGTGCAGAGGGTGTGTGTATAGTATATTAGTATATATTTTCCATATTCGTTGCTCACCAGTCACCGGTAATGACCGACATCTTCCCATTCAAAGATGTTGAATGGGTTAGTCTTAACGGTTTTGGGCTAATCTTATTGGGCTTTGGGCTAAACGGTTTAGAATTAAAAGTTCGAAATTAAACGGGTTATTAATAAAATGATCCAACTCTAACCCTAGCGGGCCTCGTGCTAAACAGGCAACATGGGCTATAATAGTAACAATAGTAACATAATAATAATATCAAAATAAAAAATATATGAATAAATAGAACGGCCAGTTATCGATTGTTTTCAACTACTATTTAGTATTTTGTATTTACCGCTTCATATATACAACTACACTTCATATATGAACACACATTACAATCTCTTAATGACATATTTTTTTCTCAAAAACAAAAATGTTTGAACTATTATTTATAATTACCACTTTACTACTTATTTTGTACGCTTTGGACATTTTAACGATATTTTATCAGACTTCTGAATATATATTCAACTAGTACAATGTCCGTGTATTACATGAAAATTGATAAGAAAACTATATTTAAAATTAAATAATAATAACAACATAAATTGTTTTAGTTTTTAAATACTTTTTTGAAAAATATATTATTATTTATGTTTAAATTACCGTTACTTACACGATCTACCAACTTATATTATATATTTTTCGAATTCATATCAGATAACTATTTTGTAGTTAAGTTAGTTTAAATAATTATATTTTTTTGAATTAATATCCTCCCTATATATAATTCCCGAATGCGTTGAGCCTACGTGGCTGCTTCTGATGCTTCGGAATCCTATTTGACGAAGAATCATGTTTTGTAATTAAGTTTGGACAAATAATATTGATATATTAATAATTAATAATCTAGGTTCAGGTATTCCATAAATATTATTTAGCTAACTTAGGTATTTTAACATCACTTTTACTAATATAACCCTTTAATTCTTTGTAATTTTACATAGTGAGGCACTAATTGACTAATATATCCTTAAATTTTGATTTGCTTCCTTCAATAAACTATTGAATTATAAATGTATTTTAAAAGTTGATAAGTTTTGTATTTCTTATCAGTTTTACGTATATAATATATCAAATTAATCATCTTTTGATGATCTTCGATTTGACATCCTTATTGTATATATAAAATAAATAAATTATATTTATCTTTATAATAATAAAAAATAATAATACTTATTAAAATTCATTAGAAAAATAAAATTATTTCTCAATTGATATATTTATATTTAATGTAGTTAATTAATAATCTAGGTTCGGGTATTCCATAAATATTATTTAGCTAACTTAGGTATTTTAACATCACTTTTACTAATATAACCCTTTAATTAGTTGTAATTTTATATAGTGAGGCACTAAGTGACTAATATATCCCTAAATTTTGATTTGCTTCCTTCAATAAGGTATTGAATTATAAATGTATTTTAAAAGTTGATAACTTTTGTATTTCTTATCGGTTTTACATATATAATATATCAAATTAATCATCTTTTGATGATCTTCGATTTGACATCCATATTGTATATAAAATAAATAAATTATATTTATCTTTATAATAATAAAAAATAATAATACTTATTAAAATTCATTAGAAAAATAAAATTATTTCTCAATTGATATATTTATATTTAATGTAGTTATATATTGTAAGTTAAAAAAATAGTATAATATAACACAAGTCGCACAAACAAAAATTATGGAAAAAAAAGTTTTTTGGTCCTTTATCTACAAGCCGTTTTTAATTTGGTACCGTAAATGGACTGTTTTTGAAAATAGTCCTCTAACTGAAAAAAAATTAGCTTTTTGGTCCTCTGACCGCCTATATGAAGTCATTGTAACCAGCTGAGCTACGTGGAAATTCGCCGATTTTTTTTTTTTTTT